CCATCCATCCATCCATCCATCCATCCATCCATCCATCCATCCATCCATCCTTCTGCCCTTTTATCTTTCCAGCATCCCTCCATCTGTTTATCGGTCTATCCACGATGGCCTATAAATGACACTGACCCACGGAGGATACTGATCCATGTCTCTGGTGAATAGACTTCAACAGTCTCATCCCAGATGATAAGACATCGCTGTCCCAAAGCCCCCTGAGTGTCTCCTGGAACCCTCTGTGAGGAACTGCTAGTCTAGCTTACACTTCAGCAACCAGTGGCTGATCAGAGCCAGGACCGTCAAGTTGTCAAATAGAGACCATCAGCCCTGCATCCATGCATGCAGCTGTCTACCGCCACGCCCTTCCCTGGGGCTTTCTGCACAGCAACCCCCACCCCATGCTGCTCCACAAGGAGGGGTCTATCGGACCCCCACCATTTTCTTTGCAAAGACCACTTTATTTTATATACCATTAACCATGAACGTGGGTCATCACATGAACTAGTGTCATTATCCAAACGCGGACCATTGATAACCACCAGTCCTCTGCGTGGTAACCGAAGGAATGTTCGTCATTTCCATAAGTGTATGTGTCAGTGAAGATTGACCACTGAGAAGCAATTGAACACCTGTGACAAATGATGTTTTTCAGACAGCAGTGTAGAAGAGATGTATCACCTTTCACCTGAGTGATCCTTCGTAACAAAACAAATACATACATGCACCCATCATTTAGAAGTTGCCAGTGTCCCAAGTTTTCAAATGCATAGGTAGAAATAGTTACAGGCGGCAAGATTTTAAAGATGCGTCTTCCCTAACCACCTCCTCCTGTGAATTCCGTACCAGTTTGTCTTCCTGCTATTTTCCTTTGCCTGCAAACGGTACCTGGATTTGATGGATGCCGTGCTTGACTTGTGCTTGACTTCTTCGATGTGGCAGACTTTCTGTAGCTTTGTTTCCCTTTAACCCAGCTCGCAGGAAGGTAGCTTGGTGTGTCTGCTTGATCTCCCACTCTCTTCGTTGCATCCGTAGTTTTGGTCTGTAGGCCTCGCTCCCTCGCCGGTACACAGAAGGCTCCTTTCTTTTTTTATTATTACTATTTTTTAAAAATCATTTTATTGGGGGCTTGTACAACTCTTTTTT